TTTCAAATACATAAAAATATAACACAAATCACCCTTCCACATTGGTCATTACTTCCTCAAGATCGAAAGAATAAAAAAAAGATAAAGATATAAAGTTATACTCTCAAGTTTCTCTTGCTGTCTGATCGTGGGTCCGGATTGTCACTCTTATCAGTATCGTAGTTTTCTCTCTGTGATTCAATTTCCGTACTACCTGCTTGAGATCTACGCCTTCGATCCTATACAAAATTAGGAGGAAGGAAACTTGTTAATACACACTTTTTTTAATAGGGTAAGTGCAAGAAATAGCAGTGTACTTTTCATTTATTTGTGTATTATAGCATTGTACCTTCAATTTTTTATGGCATTGTATTGTGAAACTCTCTACTTTCAACTTTTTTCTCATTAGAAGATTATACTTTGAAATATCTACCATATTTTTCTATTATAACATTGTACTTATTCAAAATTTTTATATTATGTCATTGTACTTTAAAAAGTCTACCCAATTATAACATTGCACTTTTAAATTTGGTCTTAGTATGACATTAGAAATCTACCCAATTAAAACAATGAAAATACAAACTTAATTTACGAATTTACGAGGAACGAGAGTTGTTAATACAAACTTATGTTAATAGACTAATCACAAGAAATAGCATTGTACTTTCATTTATTTGTGTATCATAGCATCCTACTTTCGTTTCATTCTATCATGGCACTGTGCTTCCAAAAATTTTCTTATTATGGCATTGTACTTCGACAAATCTACCCAATTATATCACTGTAATTTCAACTATTAGGACATGATAGTGAAAATTTGCTTTTGTATTTGGATGACATTGCTATAATAGAATAAAATATAAATGAAAGAAGGATGCTATAAAAAACAACCAATGAAGCACGTTATTTCTTGCATTTGAGCCTATTTCTTTGAGAAAATAATTTAAGGGAGAAAGGGAAACACAAATGACAAATGACAAACCTCTCTGGGTAAGGGATATTCCTCGGATTCGAGCATACGTACAACTTGGCTCATTTTGGGTCTCTTGTCAGAGTCGGGATCAACACATCTTAGAGCTGTTAAAAGTGCTCTTTTTAGGGCTCTTGTAGATGGCTTTGTATCAATCGTGGGGTCCACCACTTCCTCTGATCTCCGGCTTCCAACCATCATTTTTAGCCAATCCACAAGGTTTACCTACAAAATTATAAATCTTGACAAATCAACCAATCATACAACACTCATATATAAGTAAAAAAGAAGCATCTCATAGTTCACTAGGTTATATATCATTCTTTGTTGTACTAATTATAAGGGAACTAAGCTTATGAGCCATATCTTCAAAAGTAGCAAGATTAGACAATCCTATACAAGTTTAAAGAAAAGTTCTTAAAGTCATTTTTGATGAGGCCTATAATCATTTACAATGAAGAATGCCAATGATATCAGAAGTTGACAACAATATTGAATATTTGATGCAATACCTCTTGGGCAGGGCGACCATAGTCAACAGGGTCTCTTCCTGTAATTGCTTCCAAAAGTACAACTCCAAAGCTATAAACATCACTCTTTTCATTCAATAGCCCAGTATTTGCATATTCAGGAGCCACATAACTGTGTATGAAAAAAATAGTGAATAATTTCAAATAATTGCTCTTCATACACAACCTTCTCAGTTGTCATAAAACTAACAAAAATAATCAAGAAAATTAAACCCTTTGGGTACCGCATTAGTGGGACAAAAATTGCAATTTTTAGCCCCAAAAAGGTAGAAAAAGTGGGCTCTCAATCTTTTGTATGTGCAAAAGACGTAAATACCCTCCAAGTAGCAAGAGTTATATCATGGACTTACCCAAATGTACCCATAACCCGAGTCGTGATGTGACTTTTTCCAGCACCAAGAAGCTTTGCAAGGCCAAAATCAGACACCTTTGCATTGAAATCATCATCTATCAATATGTTACTTGACTTTATGTCTCGGTGTACAACTTTTGGCTCAATTGCTTCATGCAAATAGGCAAGGCTGAAAAAAATATATATATTAAAATTGAATTATGACATCTAAGCGTTTTTGAAAACTGATTCAATGTGTCATCAACTTACGCCTTAGCTGTCCCTAAAAGAACCTTCATCCTCGCTTCCCAAGTAAGATATCCATGCTGGCGCATAGCTCCATGAAGCCATTGTTCTAAATTCCCGTTGTTGACATATTCGTAGACCAACATCCTGAATGTTCAAGAATCTCTTAAATTAATGGGATGGATGCAAGAAATAATAATGTATTTTCAAATTATTAGTTTGAAAAATCTATCCAATTACAGAAATCGGTAACCTATTACCTTTGAACTGGTTATCTCATTACTGAAATTGATGAATAGATTAAGTAATACTTATGATCTTGGAATTAATGGGATTTATGAAGAAAAAGTACCTATGAGTTCCCTCAATGCAATAACCCAATAAACGGACCAAATTTTTATGGCGGACATGGCCAATAGCTTCAACCTCCACTCTGAATTCCTTCTCAGCTTGACCCCTAGACGATGAAATGGACATTTATTTAGAGAAATATAGAAGAAAGGAATTCAATTAAATGTGAAAAAACTTTAAATTTATCAGAACTCACACGTTATTGAGGAGTTTCTTGACTGCCACTGGATTCCGGTTAACCAATGTTCCCCGATAAACAATACCATAACCACCCTCTCCAAGAACATTCTCCTTTGAGAATCTATTTGTTGCAAGTTCAAGATCGCGTAATGTAAACCAATGGCCCCAACCCAAGTGGGAAAATTCAGGGAGACCGATAAGTGGAGAAGGTGCACTGATTGGATGAGAGGAAGAAGATGAAGGTTTATACAAAAAATTACCCGAACCCCCATCTTCTCCTGATTGCGATCCACAAACATCTCTATCAGTATGATGAAATGAACCTTGACTGCTGGCGTTATCTCCATTTTTCAATTTTCCCATTCCAAGATGAACCAAAACTTTGTCTGAATCTTTATCGCTGTTTTTGTCATGAATTGTGAGAAGAATCCCATCTCGTGGAGCGAAATCTCCTGTTGAAACTTGCTCAACTCGAACTTCTTTAATTTCTTTGGAAACAGTTGGGATTTGACTGTGAGAAACTCTGTCCCTGCCCCTGCCCCCTCGAACTTTCTTCCGAGAAGTGAGGTAACATGTCAACACGCAAAGAATGCCTACGATAAGTAAACCGACGATAATCCCAATTAATTCCCACACCTTAATCCCCAATACCCCAATTTGTTGAGATAATCCTGTGTTTAGATCGTCGGCCATTCCTTCTGTAGATGATCAAGTACCTGCAGATTCAATTCATATACAGCTTTTAGAACCAAGCTCATCTGGTTGGGGAGATGGAGTGTATAGCATTAACTCCCACAAGTACACACACTAATGGGTTGCCGATTCTTGCTGCAAAGCCTAGATTATTTTTAGCATTTAAACACAATCAATAAGTAAGATGTTAAGAACTGATGGGTGGAGACTTAGATCGAGAACGCAAAACAGAGAAAATTAAAAGGAAGGAGGACAGAAGTGTGCTTTATTTATATGTTGGCTTACCTCCTGATATACAGATTCAGTATGAAGAAACCATTGAATTAGTGGATCTCAGAAGCAAAGCCATTGGTGTAGTGTACAAACCACAGATCTCCGAAGTAGAAGATGGAAATGTGAGTGTTGAGGAATCGAGATCTAAGCTAAAATGGAGCTTTCTGCAACAGCATAGCAGAACCAGAGAGATAAGGAAAGGTAGGAAAGATGGAGTAGTCACCAGAGGTTGGTGATGGACCCTGCTACAGTAATGGAAAAGCTATCATTTTTTATCCCTTTGCAAATTGTGTAGTAAAACAATAAAATCTTTTAATCTTGTAATAATACTTGTAGTTAAAAACTTTATTCTTGCATATTTATAAATTTTGTTTATGTTCCACATTGTTTATAAATTAATATTATTGTGGTGATGGTATGAATATTTTGACCAACAATAAAGGTGTTACACATCATTCAATATAAATGTGATTAATTATATAAGGCTTTATTTATGAGTTATTAAAAAAAGAAAAATAAAGAAAGCTTGTTTTAGTCCATATGGTTCTAAAATTGTAAATTTGATCATTATAGTTTTGGTCCCCAGAAATAATCATCGTTCTCTCTCATTTGTTAACTCATCCCACATATCTTTATGTGAGAACATTTCAATCATTTTACATCTCTCTCTCTCTCTCTCTATCTCTCTCTCTCTCTTATGGGCAACACAAACAATAATTAACACACATTAATGACCACACACATGCACTCCAAATTTTATAGGTTTGTTCTTCAAAACATACACATACTCAAGAGCACACACATCCAACAAATACATGATGGAAGCTCTTAAAATTTGATACACATACATAGACGTCTAACAAACCCCAAAAATTAGTTCTAAAACACACCAACACCATACAATTTTGTAGAAAACATGGATTACATACCAATCACAAACATTAAGCATTGGCATCCACGAAGTAGCCTCTCAAACACTTTGAATCAAGTTCCACATTTAACTATCCAAAACCTCCAAATGCATGTGTCTATATTCCCCTTACATAAAGAAAAATTTTCATGATTCTTTTAGTTTGACCAAAGTAATCAAAACTTAGAAAATAGTTATCCGATCATATATGTATCTTGAACGGTTTCAAATAATTTTTTTTCATGACAAATTGGTGTTCCACTAATAGCCTAAGAATGCTTGAATTCAGTTAATGGATAGCCAACTAGACTGTTTTCTTAAGCAAACAACACATTTCAAGCTTCACCAGGTATGATAATTTAGATTTAGATCCACAATAACTCAATAATTAATTTCAAAAAATTTGGTAATGCTTACTCAAATTAAGGTGGCTTTTATGATATAAAAATAGTGAATTTTGATACATGGGAACAAGAAAAACTAATCTCATTTTGATTAAGCAACTCTTCCAACATCAATTTAGCTTTGTTTGGGATCATCACTCTCACATTCACTTTCAATTAACTCCAAAATCAAATTGGTTTTCATCCAATTCCAATTTCAAACCATCCCACTTATGAACCACTCTTTTCATTTCTAAACCTTGCAAGAGACACGAGTTTCATCAGATCAAATGAGTGTTAGCCCACACTATATAAATATAATAGCCCATGATTTAATTAGTCTTCCTTTTAATCACTAAATTAATTCATAATTAATTCAAGATTAAAACTAATTAAGTAACATGACTTTATATTAATATATTATAACTTATAATATATTAATAAATCGTAAGTATACAACTCTCATAAAATTATCCATGACTAGTTTGGGTGAAGTGCAACCCAAATGGACCATGCCGGGTCGGGTTAAGTATATACCAAATAAGTTATGGACTTAGACATCTTATCCAACAGACTCCCACTTGGATAAGTCTAATAACTGTATTTGCCTATATTACTTCAGGAACCAACCGACAATCGTAGCTCTCGAAAACTCTTGTGAACTATGAAGCGCCATTTTAGATAAGTGATCATATAATCCTCTGCTCTCATGATATCAGCTGGACAAATACATGGAACAATGTCTTACTTATTGTCTAGCACTTGTTTCTCGATTTCCGATTTGTTTGACAAAGAACTTAACTGAACACATCAATTTAGTTCTGACCGGGCC